TATAGTTTATCGACAAATTTCAAATTTTATAAAAAAAATCCTGGTATTGGAGATTTTATACCATTTTGTTTTTTTTTCTTTTTCACTAATTTTTTTTATATAGGTATAAAACCTGTTATACTTACACTACAGACTATTTGCACTTTATAGCAATCATTGCGAGCTTTGCTGTTTGTAAGTTTCAAGAGCGCGACACAGCCAGATGCAACTTAGACGAGTACTCGAACTATCGTAATTATACTAAAATTTATTAATAAATATGTTAGTTACTTACCTTTAAAAAAATTCCATTATTTTTAAATATAAGGGGTTGAACAATGCAAAACATTAAATGTACATACCTAAATATGATTTTAAACATTGTTAACATATTTGGAATTTAATTTTAAAGGCAAATAAATCAAGAAAACCATAGACAAATGAAGTAATAAAACTAAACTTAAAAACTTAAACACCGATATCAACAATACCATTAAGGTCAAGTTCATAGCTATCAAATTTTTACAAGTGATTTTTATTTAATTTTTCCCAGCAAATTCAAAAACGTAAAATGTATTTAAATATATTTACATGTTAGTCCTTGTATTTTGTATATTTTTTTAATATGTTTCATATAAAACTAAATAATTAAATTATTTTGTGGGAAGTAATTTTATCGTCTTAAAGGCTAACGGCTAAGGTACAGGGGCCACAAGCGTTCAATAAAATCACAATTATTCATAAAAAACAATGACTATTATTCCACTGCCCCATCCAACATAATCATTAGCTTACTTTCTAGATCTAAAAACGCATAATTAAAAAAATATTTATATAATATAGGTATTACCTATTAAATATGGGGAAAAGAAATATTAAAAATTTAAAATGTTATAAAATCTGTATACCTAATTTGGATTTTTTAAATAAACTTTGAAATTTGTTGATAAACTATGGTAAATAATAAATTGCACCAATTAAATTTGTTTATATTTATTGGGGGCGCCATGGGGCCGGTACGGCCGAGCAAAAAGTTATCTTTTTTTCGCAAACTTCAATTTAAATTCTGCTTGCGCAGAACTTGTTTATTTAATGTCATTATAAACTCATATAATTTTGGTGTGCGTCCCATGTCTAATAACTGAGATATGGGTATACCCAAAATTCACCAGCCGCCACTGGTGTAGAGTGACCCCTTACGGGGCTTTTCACGAGACAAACAAAAGAGGATAACCAAGGGAGGAAAGGCCAATTGGCAATTCTTGATAAGTAACTTTAAACATCTGCATGTCCTAATATTATTTGCCACCATGACCTTGAAAAACCCTAAATGAGGCACTTTTAGCTTAAACATGAGAAAAACTAACCAAAAAAATAACAATATATATATAAATTTGGTGTGGGTGCCATATCTAATAATTGAGATATCGGTTTACCCAAAATCCACCAGCCAGCTCTGCTTTTTTCTAACCCTTCTTTTATTTACAAAAAAGTGTATTATTCTTTATCTTAAAAATTTTACATGAATACAACTAAAAAAATGCAAGGCCTTTGTCGAGCGGCGTTAAAAATTAAATAACTTCTGCAATTTTGCGAATTCGAAAAAATGCTAAAGAAAATTTCTCAAGGAATCGACCCCTTTCGCTAGGTCCGGTGATTTTCGGATACCCTGTATAATGTATTTAATTTTATGAATTATAAAAAATTTGTTACGCTCTCGAATGAAAAACTTTACAAATATTCAGAAAATCTCATCCAACATAAAGAAGATAGTTTTCCATTCAAATACTCAACTTGGTTCCAGTTCTAAAACACGAAATTTTAGAAATTGGTGGAATTGTTAACTATAAAATATCTTCCAATTGGTTCATGCTATAATAGTATTGTAAGTGTCTTATTATTTTTTATTATTCCAGTTAATACCGCGACCTCGGAAAAATTATTTTTGAAACTAAAAATTGATGGGTGAAGAACATACTAATATTTTAAAAGACTGCAGTCTGCATGGAGTAAATTTCATCAGTGCGAAAAAAAGAAGCAATATAGGTATTTTTGAGTTAACTTGTAGAATGTCTCCTTAGATATCAGTGATACAATTTACTGCCTCAGAAATTATACATCCTATACTAAGTGCATTATATAGTGTGCAGTCAGTCATGTTTATTTAAATAATAGAGAACATGCACCACAAGTGAAAGCAATAAGAACAAATTAAATAACTAGTTGAATCATTTAATCAGAGTCAAGTATAATAGCCACTATTATTTACCCTAGAAGATTTCTTTATTAATTTATTTGTTTTGTATTTTTTAAGAACCAACTTTATGTCTCGTTTCTTAACCTTTTAAGAATAGCGAAAAAATTTAGGTTAATAGGTTCTTATGTGTTTTCAATCATTATCAAAATTTTACATGGTAAATGTCCCGTAAAGTGGTGTTGACTTCGAAATAATCTGCACCCATAAATTTTATTTAAACAATCGATTAGGCAATGCCGTAGCCAAGGGGGAATGAGGGGGTTTAATGCAGGTACTTTAGAAATTTTACGGGCCAAGATACTATCTCAGGTTATTAATATATTTGCAGCAAACAAGTCAGGCCAAGACTAAATTTGCTTCCCTAGACTACATTTTAATTCTGGCTGCCTTTTTTCAACTTATTTTCAATATAACATATCAATAAATATTGGCCGTAGTAATTTACTAAATTACTGAATCTGTATTTTGTTGCTCCTGTTTTTTTATTAACCAATCCCCGCCGAAACTTTTAGTTAATTGGTAAAATATATATGAACCCTTCTGAAAAAGACGGGTAATATCGGTTGATTGCGGATAAAAAACCAAGCTAGTTTTATGTCCATTTATATCTGTTTTCATCCGACATAGGTATCTGATTTAACCCGATTTTATCTGAAATTGCGGGTATAAATATTATCCCCAAACGTCGGGTTTTTTCTATTTAGTTATATATCTTAGTTAGTATATCTGCTTCACCCGGTTTTATCTGCAAATACCTGCTTTCGTCTGTTTTTACCCGGTTTTATCTGCCTTCATTTACTTCTTTGCCTGCTTACGTCCGGTTTCATCCGCGATTATCTGATTTTATCAGGTTTTACCTGCAAACATCTGCTTTTATCCGCGAAGATCTGATTTTATCTGTGAATGTCTGCTTTAATTCGCAAACATCTGTTTTAATCCGCAAACATCTGTTTTTATCCACAAACATCTGCATTTATCTGCGAAAGTCTGCTTTAATCCGAAAAACATCTGATTTCATTCGCAAACATCTACTTTAATCCGCAAACGCCTGCTTTATCCGATTTCACCTGCAAACATCTGCTTCATCTTTTATACACGAAGATCTACTTTCATCCACGAAGGCCTGCTTTAATCCGCAAACATCTACTTTAGTCCGCAAAAGTCTGCATCAGATTTCAAATGCAAACATCTGCTTTAATCCGCAAACATCTGCAAATTAACTGTGACCATTTGCAATAATAAAATATTTTAAATCACACATGCAGTACCATCTAGCGGCAAATAGACCACCTAAAAGTCCTACGGTCATGAGAAGAAAACGTCGGGACAACGTTCAGTTATTATTTTAGCCTAAACATTAACAATAATGGCTATTTAAGACAATTTTATAACACAAAAAATCCCAAAATTTGTCTAATATCATTTTCTTTAGCTACTTAAAAGTTAAATTAAATTTTTAGAAGATCGCAAATATTGGATATACGACATACGACGGTCATGTAAAACATGAGTTTTAAAACCAAAATTAAAAAATAAATTCATAGGATATTGAACTTTTGGTATTATTACAATCGATAAAAATATACCTGTCTAGTAAAATGTAAAAAAAATGATGGCTAATCTAACGGTTTTACTTTTAATACCCCAGGGACATGGTATCTTAAAAGTTACTGAAAACTACCCGTATAATCTAAAATAAATTATTTTTAACCACCTTTTAAATTAATAGTATATTGTACACCTAGGCGGTAAACGAGTTGCATAATATACTTTTTCTACGACAAATATTATTAGGTATAAAAATAATTGATTATTAATTAATTTAAATATTTGTATAGAGCGACATCTATACAAAAATATAGTAACCTGTGAATCTGTTTTACCTGCTTTCAAAATGACCTTGTTTTAACTATAAAGATCGAAATTTATGTCTTAAAATATGATATAGAATCAGTTTTTTAGAGTGAAAGTGTTATACTCTAACCGAAATGTTTAATGCTTTATCGGCAGTTAAAGCGAAATTAAAAGGTCAGTACGAACATGTATAAAACTTTTAAAAGCTTTTCGTACCTTTGTATTCAGATAATAAAATAATGTTTACATTTACTATTTATTTAATAAGAGAAGCAGTTTATTTTAACGATTGTATAAAAGTTGATAACTGGAACCAACTTAAAGCTAACTTTAGCCCGTACGGGCTACGTGTCTAAAAACATGTTGCTAACTTCAGTCCGTGAATAAACGCCATTAAGTCATGGAAACATTTACGATAATGATTTAATTTTGAAATGTTATTCACAAAACCGACAGGCAACGGCATCTTCACAGTTATAGGTATATATAACTTTTTGGTGAAAACTATACTGGTGGTAATTTAATATTAATAAATTAATTTATAATTTGATATTAGATTTTATCAGGCCAATTGGGTATTTTATCGAAAGAATAAAGCTCTTATTTGAACCAAAAAAGTTAATTACAATTGTAATTTAACATATTATTGCAGCGCCCTCTTTTAAAAATATTGAAAAATAAATAATTTAACTTTTGAAAGGCTAGCCGTACAAACTATTAGGATAGGTGTATTTTTATCAATTTCGTATCTAACAGTTTATGCGGCTTCCGTATTTGATATAACCTTGATATAACGTTATTTATATAATTATTTAAATAAATTGTTATTTATCTTTTGTTTATTTACAAGTCATTGTCCCCGTTACCTAACACAATAAGAAATTGATAAGGTTAAGATTAATTAGAAAATTATTGTTATTTTTTCAATAAAGGTCATTTGTCAATCATAATTCTTAAATGTAATAAAAATAGTTATATTTTTATGTGTGTATTGAAAACAGAAATCAAACGTGGCCAATAGAAATATTTTTTCGTTCACCTACAAAAATAACAACATTAGTTAATTTTAATTTTATGAAGAATCACAGTCGTCAAAACAATCAGAATCAAAATCGCCCAAGTCCTCGCTTGTGATAAGTTCCATAATAGCTCTAAAAAAAGAAAAGGTAAATTTATACAAAATATATATGTTTTTACATTAGATAACGTTTACAAATATTCTTTAAGATTTCTAACAATTATTGTTTTTTAACTTTTCCCGGGAGGGTTACCTGCCCGGCGCTTCTTGAAATGGTGTAGCCTTTACATAATTTACTTAAAGTAATAATAAATACACTTTATTATACGAATACGACTGGATTCGTCAGAAAACTCAGTTTACAAAAAGCACCTTTCGCTAATTGCGTTTTTCGTGGTCGTACAGGTCAGACAAAATCACCCATTTTTAATTGAAAATTTCACGTTTTTTCCGTTTTCTCAGAAACTACTGGATGGAAATAAATGCTTTTGTTGCCAATAAGTTGCTCTTTCAATAGGCTAAAGATACACTCAAATATACATTTTAGTTTTTAGTAAATATCTTGACCCCCGTATACTGCACAATAAAAAGTAAAAAAATCAAATTATTTTTTTATAACATTTTTTTATAATTTTTGTCTAAAGGGTATTTCCACGAAACCTTACCCCACCTTGACAAAAAAATCAGATGTTATTTAACAAAATAAAAACCATATCTGAAGTAAAATAGTTTAATTGCGACGTAATTTATAACCTTAAAATATTCGTACATTGTGATGCTAAGAACATTTTTAAGAAATTTTAGAACATAAAGTAGTTTTAGTGCATTTAAATGTACCAAAACTGGAATATCCAATAAACAAAAAAATTATTTTGAAACATGTGCGTGAAATTGTAACGCTACCACCAAAATAATTGCCCTTATGTATATAAAGGAAGTATCAATAAGAGCGCAAGATTTGAATTTCGCGTCAGTTTGGCAACCATGATGTCACATGATTAATGACAGATTGATAGGAGACAGAACAACCCGTCCTGATTTTTAAACATTATTATCAAAATAATGAAAGTTTGATTTCCACGATTCGTAAAGTGCGTCCAATATTTGGTCAAAATAATGTTCCTAATTCATCTACTTTGAAAAGAATAATCGAAAAATTCTAAACCACTGGTTCGGTTAGTGGTGCAAAACACACGACACGAGCTCGTAGAGGTCGTTCAGAACAATAGGGTGGCCGAGAGTCCAGAGACGTCGATTCGCCATCGTGCATAAGAATTGGACATTACAAAAACCATTCTTCATCGAATTCTTAATAAAGATCTTCATGCCTACAAAGTCCTGTGGACTCAACAACTTCAGCCAAAAGACCATGAACAGCGAAGAGAGTTCACCAATTGATTCCTTGAGCAGCAAGAAGTGAATGCCGATTTTGCAGACAAAATCATTTTCACCCTTGGACTTTTGGCTGTGGGGTTATTTGAAGTCACAAGTTTATGCCAACAAGCCCGCCACCACCGAAGCCTTATTAAAAGCAGAAATTAGACGCCCTATCAACGAAATACCGCCACATATATTCAATAAAAGAGTACGCATGTGCCAGTTGAGCTGTTGTGGCCATTTACTAGATGTGTTATTTTATACATGATTCCCAAATGTGTACTTTATAAATCAGTAAACATTTCAATGCTTTACTACCTAAAAACATGTTTTATTAAGCTTTGAAATCTTGCGCTCTTATTGATACACCCTTTAGTGTCTGTCTTTATTATTACTTCAGGCGGCCTAATGTAAAACTATATATTTATATACTATTTCGAGAAGCGCAGGCAGGTAAACCTGAAGACTTTTAATATTTTTTTTAATGGAGAGTGGACCAAGAATAATTACGAAGATAAAGGATAAATCACGAAGACTAGAGACAGGAGTACAAACCGATATAACCCCTGTGAGGCAAAACGCGTCTGCAATGATGGAAGTTTCTCAGTGCGCCATGGACAATTTAAATTGATTGTGATTGGCCCTAATAAGATTGGGTTTGCGCACAAGGCAGTTTTATTAGTTCTGCGCAGACGTATTTTGTCTCATAAAAATACGTGGTAAACACATAAAGTTTGTACACCTGTCTCTAGTCTTTGTGGGATAAATGAATAGTTTTTATAAATTTTAAATAAATATTATTCTTAAAAATATTGTTTTTGAAATTAAATGTTTAAATAGGCCACCAGCAGCAGTTAAACAATAACCTAGCCTATCATAAAAATTCCTGCGCTCGTTAAGTACTGTAATGTTTTTAATGTTTTATCTTTATATGGAAAAAAATCACATAAAAAAAACTAAGGTTGACATAGAAAACAATAAAAAAAATATATTTTTTACCTTAACATGGGTATCTCCTCCCCGTTTTTTCTCCAATCAATGAACCCGGGATGGCAAATCTTGTGTTCTAAAAACCAATTCAACTTGTCCCTTAAATCGCCGATTATTGCAGCAGTAGAATTACCGCATCGAAAACTTAACGCGTTGTTTATAGTTATAACTTTCCCATTGTTTACTTGTTTAGAGGCATCAAATTGGTCCCCAAAAAATACCAAAGGCAGAGGGTAAACCATGGTGCCGTCGTGTATGAAATCCGAAGAGGATTTCATGCGAAGGTAGTAGACGAATAATGGCGACTCGAAATCGCGTTCTCTAGATAGCACAGATTTAGGGTGGAATTCGAGTTTTTCGTATTCAAGGCTGCGTAGCAATCCGCGCTTCTTAGTCCTAAAAATTTAAAAAAAGTTTTAACATGTTCCAAGCTGCGTAGCATCCCGCGCTTTATCAAAAATTTAAAAAAAAAATAGTTTTAACTTATTTTTTACAAACATATTAAATATGTATTTTTTTAGTTTAATAAAAGCAGCCGTTTAAAATTATATAAATGTATGTTATATTATATTGCATTGCTTTATGATCATTAAACCAATAAACTATTTGTTTAATAAAATAACACTTTTATTATTTTAAATTATTCAGTACAGTAAACATTTATGAACCGTCACACAGTGGGCTAGAGAGCCTATTTAACGCGCAGAAATTATTTGGTTAAGTAGTTAATGTTAATTTTTTGGTCTTATTGATGAAATTTTAATAAAAATTACTTTAACAACAAAAGTATATTTGTGTGATGGCAAAATTAAGATCTATAGTTTTAATGAGTAAATTACAAAAATATAACTGAACATTTATAAAATAAAACCTAATTGTTAATATTACTTTGGGCTTTCAGCGTTTTTTTATATATTTTTTTTAAATTAAATTTTTGAATTAAGTTTTTTCCGAAAAACATTTATTTTTGAAAATTCATAGTCTACTAAGTAATTTAAAAGTAATTAAAATGCTTCAAACAAAAAATATTTGTGGCGCCTACTAGCACTTGATTTTAGATTTATTTAAAAGACAGATCAGTAAGCTATTAAAAACACTTAACACAGAGTGTGAAATTGCGTGACATTTTTTAAAACCTTAGTATTGTTCATACATACATCAAAAATATGCAGCGCTTTCTTTATCGACCTAGCGATAGTACAATAATTATAAAAACTTACCATTATTTGTTCGAGCCATAACGTATGAAAGTATTGAATACAATGATGGTCAAAAATTAAAAATTAATTAATTAAAGGAATTAACATTGTAAAAGAAGCAAAAACCCGCAATTTACCAACACAAAGCAAGTAATTATAATTCTTAAACTTTGACTGGTTACCTAATAAAAATTCAACAGATTTGAAGGTGATATAACATTATTTGATTTGCTACAGATATTAAAGAATTCAAAATTCACTAAATTTTGTCGAAATAAAACATATAATTATTAATATTCACTAATAAAAAACATTAAAAGTTTAAGTTTCGTTTATAATTTTGTTTAGCCGCATACCCAAACACAGAACATACCCACAATAAACTATTTCTATGCAATAAACTGTGTTTTACTGAGTGACACTCACTACACAGAAGTTCTATGACAGAACATAAGCTCACTAGTAGTGAGTCACTACAAAGAAGGTAACTGTAAAGAAAGTTACTGTTACAGTCTGTAACCATAAGAAAAAATTCTATACCGTTGAGTTGCACGCCCTGGATAAAATATTGGCGCAAATTTTAAAAAGAACAAAAAAATAAAATAAGTAAAAATACGTAAAAATAGGTAACAAATATGAAAATAAACTGACAAATTAAAAAATATGTAACAAAAGTATAAAAAGGTAGTTTAAAGCAAAAACCTCCAAAAAAAGGTGAAAAAAAGTTAAAAAAAATAGGTAACAAAAGTATAAAAAAGGTAGTTAAAAGCAAAAACCTCCAAAAAAGGTAAAAAAGGTGAAAACAAGTTAGGTTCATATATAAGAAAATCTTTTAAAACACATTTTGGCATTATTGGTTTTCAAATAGTTACATCGGTTAAAAAAAGGTAAAATAACTAAAATCCCATCCCTAGTTATCAGTAATTAATTCAAAATTAGTAATTGTTATTAGTAGCTTTTTAATTGATGGTTTCCATCGCCAACGTATGACAATATTTAATACAATGATATTTCTTCTAAGCATCCAGCGTTTTTTCTATATTAAAAAAATTTTGAATTAACTTTCTTCCGAGATACATCTATTTTTGTAGTCTACTAAGTAATTTAAAACTAATTTTATATTGAAATGCTTCAAACTAAAACACTTTTTACAAAGCTCCGGGATAATGTATTAACTGAAAAAAATAAACAAACCATATTTGTTGCGCCTACTAGCACTTGATTTAAGATTTATTTGAAAGACTGAACGGTAAGCTATTAAAAAAACTAAATACAGAGTGTGACAGTGCGTGACATTTTTTAAAACCTTAATAATGTCCATACATACATTAAAAGTATGCAGCGGTTACTTTATTAAGGTAGTGACAGTACAATAATAATAAAAACTTACCATTATTCGTTCCAGCCATAACGTATAACAGTATTTAATACAATTATAGTCAAAAAGTAAGAATAAATTAATAATAAACATTGTAAGAGAAGCAATACCTTTACGCGCAATGAATCAACACGAATCAAGTAATTATAATTCCTAAACTTTGACTGGTTACCTGATAAAAATTCATTATCTATAAATATTAAAGAATTCAAAATTTTCCAAATTTGGTCGAAATAAAACACTTACTTATTTTGAATTTCTTCGCGCTGGGAGCGCTCTCTAGCCTACTGTGCGTCATTAGAAAATTGTTTTCTGTACTTTAATAAATAAATAGTTATACAACATATTAATAACTAAAAACCTTTATGGCCCTAAAGTTACAATTAAGAAATCGTTTCTATATACACTGCGCGTCAAAATTAACGCATAAAAAAATCCAACTCTAAAACGCCTTTACCAATCTTTATAAAATTTTGGATACAAATACTTTAACTTATCTCAGTTTACGTGTTCAAGGGTTTTTCGAGAAAATATCCTTAAAGCCCTTCCATTTAATAATAAGAAACGCTCGAAAAAAAACTTTTATAGGGAATTTTTTTTAAGTAAATAAAAAATATAATGTGAAAGACCGTATTTTTATTAGTATAACCTGAAAATGTTGTACAAATCAAACAAACATTAACAAAAATACAGCGCTTCGAAGTCGTCAAAAATGACCACTTTTCAGCAAAATAATCAAAAAGGGGTCATTTTTACCGACTTTGAAGCGATGTATCTTCTTTACTGTTCGTTTGATTTGTACAAAATTTTCAGGGTATACTAACAAAAATACGGTCCTTAACAGCATATTTTTATTTAGTTAACAAAAAAATCCCTAAAAGTTATTTTTCGAACGTTTTATTTAATAAAAATTATTATTAATAAAAGATCGAATAGCGAATAAAAAAAAGAAACTAAAAAATATAATTCAGAATTTTGTTATGATATTAACTTATTTTAAGAACAACAGAAATTTTACTCACCTCTTATAAAAACAAACATTAGGATACAACCCGGCACAAATGCAAGCCTTAACCAAACTGAAATTATCGGAATTAACATTAAACTCCTTAGCTGCGGGATCCAAACTGGTAACGAAATTCATCTCGTGCAAATAACCCATAAACTGTTTCTTCATATCGATCAACATTTTCAATGTTGAAGAACTTAAGAAATAATCCCTACAAAACTGGCGTTGATTGTAGGTGGTTTGAAACATTTCAAGAGCTCTAAATAGAACCAAATGGTCGCTTTTCCAACCGTTTGAAAGCTCGAACTTTTTTTGCTCAGCTAATTTTTCTTTGCCCAATGGTAGCTGAAACGCGTCCTTAAAGTCCAAAGAGGCCGCCACTGATAACACAGGGTTTAAACACCCAAATATAGCGCCAAAGAGTATCATTTTACCCATTTGTGGGGCCATAGGTAACTTGGCCAAGTGAAAACCTAAGGGCGTCAGGTTTTCGTCTTTATCCAAAGCGTTCAGTTTGTGCAGCAAGTCAAGGGATATGTATGTGCATTCTTCTGTAGGTGGGTTCATTAGTTTTCCGAAAAAATCTTTGATTTTGCCTAGTTGCAGCATTTTTGCTACTAATATTACATCTTCCAGGCGTTTTCTTAAGATTTCCGGTTTTTGGTATTGATCCAATAGCATTTTGCGGGCTCTGCTAAATAAATGGTAGCAGACACCTTAAAAAAAGTTGTAAATTAATTTGTATTAATTAAGGGCTCCAGTGCAAGAACCAGGTAAGAAAAACGTTTCTATAAATTAACCTATTGGTTTAAACAAAGTTGAGCTTAGCAAAGTAGAGTCGGAGTTAATATAAAATTTAAAAAATATTAATTTATTTAAGGGAACTTTATAGGAGAGCGTTTTTCTTCCATACTGTGAAATTTCATTATTTGAAAATACCTGGAACTTGCACTGGACCCCTCGATTATAATATCGTCGTGTCTGCTTCCACGCTAACGTGAAACAAACTTACATAAATTGCTTTTCTATATTATAGGGCCGGCGACAATAATGGTGCTCGCGGGCTCAAGCACCACACGTAAAGGAAAATGGTGGTGCTCAGCACCACACGTATCTTTAGCATAAAAATTGCATTTCTTTTGCGGCATATAAAAAATATATTGCGGTCTCTAAATTTTTTATCCTAGCCTGGGATACACACCAACGCCCTCTACAAATTTACGGTTGAAGCTGAGGAATCCAAAGTTTAAAGCAGCGGTTCACAAACTATGTTTTTCGCGTACCATTCATGTGCAATGTGGATTAATCGAGTACCACCGAACTAAATAAAACAAGTTGTGCTGCGTGTACGTATTTATTGAACTTGTAGTTTAATAAGAAATATTGATAACCGTCAAACAGAACCAATTTTTATAGTATTAAAACAACAATTTGTCAGAACAAAACAAAATAAGCATGACTCGTTACGATTTTAAAACGAACAGGGGATTACCCATTTAATAAACACCAACAACAGTCCCAGGTATACCTATAGCATACTGACGTCTGCTGACGTCATTTAAACGTCAGTGTGCTACCTGGGGTGTTGCCATTTACAATATAAAATGTGGAAAATGATAGATTTTTAATAAAATTGAGCCAACGATAATTTTATTTGAAGGCAAGTACATATATTATCTTATTATTCTTATTATTCGCGTACCACCTTTGGATGCCTTACGTACCACTTTTGGTACGCGTACCACAGTTTGAGAACCGCTGGTTTAAAGTATCAAAGTCGGTCGGTATAGTATGTATTATGTTATGTTAAGCTAGATTTATAGTTTTAAAGGTAACGGTAGAGGCAGCGGTAAAGGTAGCGGAAGAGGTAGCGGTAGCGGTAGCCGAGTTCGGCATATATTTTTATATGAAACAATTTAAGTGTATGTTTCTTGGTATACTGCCCTACTATGGAAAAAGGCAGTAACTGCAAAAAAATGCAAAATTCGTTTTCTTGTGCTATGGTAAAGCTATGGACATTTTGTAACCGAATTCAAAACATAAATGCAGTCAAATATCTCATAAGTTAAAAAAATCAATTAAATACCTACTGCTTTTTATAAAAATGTAGTTTATAGTCGTTTTTTCGCGTAAATACTATGTAATACTACGGTTAAATAAGTCATGACGTCACAGTTAATTCGTATAACCATGGTTAGGTTTCTAACATTTGACATTTGTTTACTTGTTCATAACCTATAATTTTTGAAATGTGTTTGTACCTATTTATATTTAAATTCTATGCTTTTCCGGTGTAAATAAATTTCTTTGCCTCTTCTTATACCTAGTATATTCTTTTTCTATACTAGTTTTTTCAATACACGTTATCCAATTCTCCTACATGTTTAATACCAAATAAGGAAGAATATAAAACAAACCTGCATATAATTCCTCCACTTCTTGTGGAGATTCCACAATATGGAGCACCCTATCATTTATTTTTACTGACAACACCCCGTTTACCATTTTAATACAAAGTTAAAATTCGGTTTAAGAGCAATTGTACCTACTTAAAATATTTTAAATTTCAAATGTAAACAACTTTTTGACAGATCGAAACAGAGAAAAATATATATTAAAAAGAAAAAGACTATTAACCACGTTGAATAACTAGCTCAGCGATATAGTTTTATGGTCTGGTATTTGTGACGTAATAGTTAGGAATTTTGAACGCACTCTAAACGCAAAAATGCCTTAACTATTAACCAAGGTTAAGTTTAATAACCATAGTTTTTCATTGTATTTACGCGAAAAAACGACTTATGCTTATTTTCCACAAATTTCTTGTTTAGCAGTTACTGCCTTTCTCCATAGTAGGGCAGTATAGTAGGAATAACATACCGACACGTCGCGACGTGTATTTAGGGTATTTCTACTATACCGACGGTAACCGACCAAACTTTGAGTTATATTATTATTATTATTTACAGTTCGTGCGGTTTGTTTATTATCTCTGAGTTCGTTTTTGCTACCACCAATTGTATTAGTGGATAGATACCCGACTTTTTATCAACAAATGTAAGTTAGTTCGAATCTTAGAGTAACTCTGTTTAATTGCCTCTCGTAAAAAAATCTAAAACGATTATTTTAAACCCGTATTTTTGATGCTGGTAACCCTTGATTCAAGAAGTGGCAGATGCCAACCCTAAAAACGTCCGATGTGGCAGTAATATACATATCCCATTCGCTTCCATTACAGGGTGAGTTTTTTAACTTGAAACTTTAAAAATATCTGGCGTAATAAGCACTGCCGAAAAAACTATATAAACTAAATTTAATCATTCCGGGGGGGATATATTTGTGCTAAAATTAGTAGTGTGCTTATTACGCGAGATATTTCCAAGTTAAAAAACTTTCCCTGTATATAAAATGTGACTGAGTTTGATAAATAAATTGACTAAAAAACTATTCCAATTTTATTTTGTTCTCCTTCCCGCAACCCCCAAGGAAAAAAACACCCACACCCCCCATCAATTAACCACTGCTACCAACCAACTGTAGATGAGCACCACACGTCAAAATGAAAAGCTGCCGGCCCTGATATCGTACATGATTTACTACAATACAAAATACATAATATAATCAATTTCAATATCCAGTACATTTATTTCAAAATCCCGTGCGATGACATTGACCTGTGTTTGCTAATTAAGGTACCAATTATGTTAATTAGAACCAAATTACCAGACATTTAAGTATTTTTTTAATAATTAATATTATTTTTTGGATCTTTTGACAAACTCTTGTGTTAGTTGCTACTATAAAATCATGAACTAGCATGGAGGGGGCAAATTTCCCCAAGTGTACCACAAAAAATGCACTTTTTTAAATAATTATTATCTGTAAAGGATTTTGCTTTATTACCTTTGCTTACAGGGGTAAAATGAGTGAGTATGAGTATAAGAGACGTATAACCAGCCCCATTTCCTCTTGACTCCCGAACCCCGTACAGGCCTATGTTTACTTACGCCGATTTTTGTTCTTCCCCAGCAACTGCACGGCTTCACCCGTGTTTGCTGGGTGCTTAAAGGGGTAAAATAATACAATTATAAATTTTTTATTTGTGTATCTCTGATTAATTCACAAATTTATTAAATTTTTGTATAGGTTTCCTTAAGATTTTATCGATATACAGGTGACTTATATGGCCCCTTTATGTCCTTTTATAAAAAAATACAAAATAACTTGAAATCGCAAAGTACACAAAAAAGATCTGACATCATAACATGAAAGTATTATTCTGCCCTGTTAAGCCAAACCTCCGTATGTACAAAATTAAGTATTAAAGTACAAATTATAATTTTCATTAATAAAACAATAAAAACTAACTTTTGTCCTTTATTATTTAATATTGCTTTAATATGCTTAGCACGGCAGTATTATAGTATAGTAAAATCGCTTATCCGGTTTAATCAAATAAAATAAAATTTTGTTGTATGTCCTTACACATTTTACCTCTTATTTAAAGGAATAAAGTACAAACAATTTTAAAACAACTTTACATAAGGACCCATTGCTACCCGTAAGCGATTTTGATACATTTTTTCTTTCAAAAGATAACAGGGGGGGACTTTATACGGGCGTAATGTATATGTACAATTTATACTATTTTTTTAAATCTCAAGACTAACCTTGAACAGTCTACGGTAAAAATTTCAACTGTAATTATGTTTTTAATTTTTTTTACAAAATATTGATGTTATACCTTTAGTTTTTTAATATGTTTATGTAAGTTTATATTTTTTTATTTTTAAAATTAATTGACGTAACGATTATTGTATAGGTCTGATGATGGCACAAATAGCCGAAATCTACACTTTTACAATTGTATTTCCGAATAGTCAAATGTATAACAATTTTATTGTACTAAAAAATGGAAAAAACTTTTTAAAATATTATTCAAACATGCTCGTCTTTAAATGGTTTCTTTTAAGAGACTAATTTAACACTTATTGGGGAACCCTATATTTTTATATATTATATTTTGTAAATTATGTACTAGGGATTGGAAGAAGGGGATAAGTGCGTAATATTTAATGAAGATTATAATTTGAAGGATAATATTAGTGTGGACGAATAGATAATTATAATTCCTGTTACTTTTTTAATACAACTCATATAAAGGTTTTTAAAGTACAATCTAATAAATAAACCAACCTGCTTGGACTCTTCCAGCCCTTCCTCTTCTTTGATTGGCATTGGCTAAAGACACCCACTCGGGTAGTAGAGTTTGAGAATTAGTCTCAGGTATGTAATTCGTCATTTTGATTTTACCGCAGTCAATCACAAATACCACATCGTCAATTGTTATAGAGGTTTCGGCAATATTTGTGGAAATTATAATTTTTCTGGTACCATCTGAAGCGGGCATAAAAATTTGTTTTTGCTCGGCGGTCGGCATTTGGGAATGTAGAGGGTAGATGTGGTACTTGTAGCTAGGGAATTTACCCGATTTTTCCAAAAGAGTGTTAAGATTTGATATTTCAGCGAAGCCTGTTACAAATACTAGAATGGCTCCTTTTCTTGACTCCTAAAAATAAAACAGTTCAAGGTATTATAGAAGAGGAAATTTTCACGAATGTGGAAATTATTAAATGGCCGCAAATACAAAATAATCAATATATCTTAAAGTCAAATTAATATTAAAAGTACAAAAAAAACACTGTGAACTCATATTAAGCGCTCAAAAATGCCTGAGTATGATAACATTATTATCTTACCTTATGACATATATACAACAACAACTCGAAAATCAAATCCAAATTGACTTTCTCACTCTCAGCCTTTCTTAACTGTATACAAGTATTCCTACTATACTTCTTCTCTTTTTCCAATAACCTTACATGTGGCTCTATAAAATCGCTGAAATCCCTGTTCTGCCTATCAGAGTATCTCCTGTATTCATTTCCAAAATCAAATCTAGTCTTTTCAATCACATCCTCTAAATAATACTCTTCTACCGGATATGTAAAACCAGGTATGTTAATGTGAGGGCAGTTGTCATAGTATTTTGAGAAAGCTTCCGAGTTTAATGTGGCACTCATGAGAATTAGTTTGAGGTCCTTGCGTTTGGTGATTACTTTTTTGATAATGGTCATTAGAAAGTCACTTAAAACATCGCGTTCGTGAATTTCATCGAGGATTAAATGGGATACTCCGGTTAAACAGGGGTCTGACTCCATTTGTTTAAGAACCACACCGGTTGTGCAAAAGCATATCGATCCCCTTTCTCTTGGTAGTTTTCTAAAAAGCAAGTTTTGTTAATATTGTATTTTAAAACTTATTGTTAATTTTAAATTAATATATTTTTTATATTTAAGTACATATACATATAATGAAATTATAAAATTAAGAGCTCGTCCAGTTTACACCATCATAATTGTACAGGTCTAGCCATAATTTATAAAAAAATAAAGATTTTTTTCTCTCTAGAGACCGGATTGTATGCATTTACACATGTACATACTATGCAATTCCATATTTTGTCTATTTTTAGGGATTTAAGCATATTTAACTAATACTAATTTATTAGTAAAATATGCTTAAATCTGTAGCCGAAGTATGATTATAACCTGCTGATAGGACATATTTCTGCTATTTTTACAGTACATTACACTGTGCGACAAATGTTGACCAAACAATTTGATCTGGGATGAAATCTGGAAAAATCGAATATATGCAACCAAGAGGTTTTGCCAGTTTAGCTAGAATAATAGTGTGTCCGCTTAATTTGTGATTATATTATTCATTTTACGAAAAAAATTTACCTTCTGTATTAAAAGTTCTGCTTTCTGAAAAAATAATATTAAAATAGTACACTGCGCGTCAAAACGCAAAACAAGTAAAAAAATCTCTAAAACGGCTTTACCAATCTTTATAAAATTTTTGATAAAAATACTTCAACTATTATCTTTTTTTTGAGAGACACCTGCCTTTTAAAATTATAATTTATATTATTTTTTTATCTAAGGCTTTGGGGATACTAGGAACTATATATAAAGTTAGAATATCACCAAAAATAATACCTAAATAAAAGAAAAATTTAAACAAATAGGTTTTAATCAAAACATGTACAAAAAGTGCAGTAGTGCAAAATTTGTGATTAAACTATAAAAAATATTAAACCAAACAAAATAAATCGATCTTTATTTCAAAGAATATACCTTCAAAAATAACATAAACAAAAAAAATTCAAATAGGTATATCTTTTTTAAACAGCAAAAATAACTGCTTCAAACTATAGCTGATTTTTACAATTATTTTTTCCGTAGTAACTTTTTTGTTTTTTTTTTTCAAATTCCTAAAAAATTTCAAATTCTTCACTATCTGACCTTATAAAATTATTTTCTATAGACTCTTAACAGACAAGTCCTGAATCGCTGCTGTGATTATCTTCAACGACATAATCACTATAATGGTTATGTAACATACTACAGTCATCTATATCACTTATATCGCTGTCGATTTCATAAAACTACTATATTACAGTTTCCTTGAAGCCCTTCTTATCACTTTGAACACTTTTAGAAGGCCCTTGTTGCGAATCCATAAGGAATTAATTGTTTTATAAAAATTACGTAAACGGTACACAGTGGTCTACTAGACACCTCAACACTTTGACTCGTAATAATTTGTCCGTTTGACAATCCAACTTGTTCAAAGTCTGAGAGCATATTGATAACTGCTTAACTTAAAAGTATTGGAAGCGACCACAGACCACCAAAACAAATGGACGGCGCATTGCCATTCAATAACAATGCTTTGTTTGCGGTCAACAAACGGTCACAGTCTAAGCGTCAAATTGGAGATAGAATTTTATGTTTTCTTCCAGTGACGTCAACAAACGGTCACAGTCTAAGCGTTAAATTGTCGATAGAATTTTATGTTTTCTTCCAGTGACAAGACTTAAATACACTAAAAAATGGACCAATTCTAATCAACTAACCCTAAATCATCAAAAATGTCACTTTATAAACTTTGAATCCAGAACAAGAGAACATTAAATGAAGATCAATATCAAGGAGCCACTAAAGGAAGTAAAAACAATCAAATACCTGGGACTACACATTGACAATAAACTAAACTGGAAGCAACACATAGATAAACTAAACGAATCTCTCTCTTCATACCTAATGAACAAAATATCTAACACACATTAAAAATCCAGGAAAACAATTGTAAAAATTTTATCACTTGCGAATGTAATGCCAAAGCAGTAAAATATCTTGGTTTAATGGTTGACCAACAATTAAATTGGGAAGTGCATATTTTCACCCTTGTAAAAAAACATTGAATTTTAATAGGAAACTTTCTAAATAAAAAATTCTTATTATTGTCTATAACTCTTTAGTGGAATCTATCCTAAGATATGGGATAGTCGCATGGGTGGGTTGTTACGATAATTCATAGACCCATCAAAACAAAATTCTCAAAATCATATTTAAAAAATCAAGATTATTTTTCCCCAACATGTTATATAATAAATCTGATTTGCCAAAAGTTCGTTTAATTTATGTTATCCAGTACTGCAGTAAACAAAAACGAAAAGAAAACTAAAGCGGTCCCCTCCCACTATAACAGCAGATCAACAGAAAAAAATGTATTTCCTATTCCCATTTTTAAAAATAACTTTACGCTAAGGACTGCGTTTTATTTTGCAACAAAATTCCATAACATGTTACCTAAAGAAATAAGTTTTTCTAAGGAGTTAAACAAGTTTAAGACACTACACAAGTTTACATCAAGAAGACTTTTAAAAAATAATATTCCAATAAAAAAACATTTATTTTCCTCAGTATCAAACATTTCTTGACAGTTGACTTCTTTTTTTTAACAATGTTTTGCTCAATTTTGTTATTGTTTCTGTTCCTCAGTGTTAGATAGCAAGGTTTTTTCTCCTGAGTCTGTCTGTTAAATAAATACTATTTTTTATTTTTTTATTTATTATTATTATTATTTTACATATTTAGTATCAATGTAAATTTGAAAATTACATAAAGACAAATTTATTCTAAGATTGTGTAATTACACACAAGCACTGCTACGGTGATTCACAAAAAATATATATATTTTTAAATATGATAATGGTTTTTTTAACCCTGAACATCTTGGACTTATCTTAATAATATTATTTGTATTTATAAATTAGATATGTAATTTTTGTAGAAAGAAAATAAATGATTGGAATTTTGAATGAATTCCATATTCTCCACTACTATGTTTATTTTTTAATTTATGGCATATTTCAACAAGTCCTTTGCTTGTAATTGGGTTTAGTAACATCGACTAGTCACTCAGCCATTCCACGTTACTCGGGAATTTTTGTAGCGTCCGTTACAATAAAAAATTGTGAGTAAAAGCTACTTAAATTAAATACTATTACAATAGTTACTATTGCAAATTTTTTTATTATGCTTGTAATAATTAGGCTCAAGCTTATAAGCATCATAATTACGGTAGTTTTACTCACAATTTTTAATTGTAACGGACGCTACAAAAATTCCCGAGTAGCGTGGAATGGCTGCACTATCACTGATGGTACTTTGGGTAACTTAGTTAATAGGTCTGGAATAATCGTAAGATTATTATTAAAATTATTAGCGTTTAAGGTATGGTCACCCTCCTGTTGATTTTTCCTTTAATCTGAATACTTTTTTATTTATTATCTGAATTTTTGATTTGTGTATGATATTTTTTGGTACGTTCTTTAACTATTAGTTGTTTGTATTTTTTTGTAGTTTTTTATGTATTTATTTCAATACTCCCCATTCTGTTTTAATAGAACATGTAGTAGGTATACCTAGGTTTTGTTTACAATGCAAAATTTCATTACTATACTTAACTTTGTTTTTATTATACTTATTTGTCAATTTAAATGGAAAACAATGGTTAAAAATGTAAAAAAATATTGTGATAAAATTTTTCCATTAACAATTTACATTATTTATGTACATTTCAACTTTTTCAAAAAAATACTTTTATTCTTTTGTTTGGTTTGATTTATTTGGTGACCACCATAATTTCGCTTTTAAAGTAAATTATTTAAAAAAACACAATGGTATAAATTTTTTTTAAGTAGGTAATTAGACAATACTTTTAGCTTCTATGATTTTTGCAATATAGAACTGTCACTGTCACTGTCAAAAGCGAAAAGCGTCAACAACTTGCACTGTTGTCGTGATTAAATCCTATTTTTAATGTTTTTTTCAAATTCAAATTCACGTTCTTGTGCCTTAAAAGTGATAAAACGTGTTAATGGTTGTGAAATGTATTGTTGTTGGGTGCGGAAATGTAACCAATTTGTAAGTATTGACTATCCTGCCGTCCTAAGCCAAAAAGACTCATGTCATTATTAAATTATTCTCTTAGCAAAAAAGACGCATTTTAACTAAACACACATTTTTAAGTACTATATCTCCTAAAAATTTCTAATAAAATTGAACGTAGGTATCTTATGAAAAAAAAAATAAGGCTCTATAATTTATAAAGTAAAAATGTGGAGTTGCGTATTGTTGGCTAGCGTAAAAATACTGTTTGTTAATTATGAATTATTTAGGATTGCTTGTTTAATGGTAATTTAGTCCAGGCCAAGCCCAGGCTACTTATGGTTGTTTCAAAACCAAGAGTTGGCAAGATGTATTTTTCACAGTTGGTTAGAACTTGCCAAAAGTCCACACTCAAAAGCCTTGTACAAATTCCTATACGTATATGTATAAGTAGCCTGGACTAAATTACCAAATTTTGCAATATTCTCTTTTTATTGAAGAATTAAGACTAATATTTTTTAGGTTTGCACTCCCCAAACAAAAACATATTCATGTATACCGATTATGTATTTAATATGTATATATAGATGTATGTATTTTATTTTATATTATTACTACAATAAATAAATGTTATATTCATACTTGATTTATTTAAAATACAGCAGTAAATACAATATATAAAGGCACCCTACTAAGCATCAACATTCAAATATGGCGCCAATATTTGTTACAGAAATCTTCTTCGATTTTTGGCATTGCTAAGGGTATTGTAGACCTAGATGGCGTTAATTTACTTTAGCCTTTTGCCGCTAGCGCTAGTGCAGTTTCCAATCTATGGGGTGTATTATCTTTGCCCAAACCTCCTTAATACAATTAGTTATTATATTATTATTTATATTTATACAAATCACAATAAATTAATATGAGATTTTTTAAAGGGCAGGTTTTCAAGGCATAAAATTTTAAAAATAATCAAAATAAAATTTCTAAAAATATCATATATTTTAGAGGTATTGAGCATTTGGCAACTATGTGTATTGAATTTTACTAAAATTTATTCATCAAGTTAAGTTTATTTAACTGTTTAGGGTAATAAAAATAAACCAAATCATAGAAAATATCTAATGAAAAATTATTGTGATACTTACTTTTCAAGTCTAATCTGGTATCCAACACTTCCTCCAAGTGTTTCAGACCTTTCTTCAGCAACCCTTTCAGCAACTGAAATTGCACTTATCCTTCTGGGTTGAGTGCAAATAATTTTGCAAGTCGAACCTTTTCTCTTGTCTATATAATCATCAAGAATAAATTGTGCTACTTGGGTTGTCTTACCACAACCTGTTTCACCACTAAAATAATGTAAATTAAGTTATTTTATTTATTTTTTTTGTATTTAGTTAATACCTTATTACAACAACTTGATTTTTTTCAATTAGTTCCAATAACTCCACTCTTTTTTCAAATGATGGTAATTTTTTACGCTTTTTGAGCAATAATTTGTACTGAAAATCATCCGCTTTATTTTGGTTAAAAGAATAAAGCATTTCATCCAATCTGTGGTCAGGAATTAATTCTGAACTTGCTTCGTCAAGAATATCATTAATATTTCCTCGAATAATTCTCAGAAAATCCCTTTTAAACACTGAATCTTCGACATGTGAATAATCTGTGGCTTTCTCTTTGCTTTTATTTTCAAATATATTAGATTCTAGAATGCGCTGGATTTCCTCTTTTCTTCTTTCAGACAACAAAATTGTACCCATCTAAAAAATTACATGATAACAAATTTTAATAATATTATATAAAACTTACGATATTTTTTCTTGTAATTTCCTTCCTTTCTTCCCTAGACATATGTTTTTTATCCCTGTAGTACATACCCAATGCTTTTCCTTTCAAATCTTTAGGACGTTTCTTATGTCCATCTTCAGACCTTCTATGAGGTCTTTCCCCATCATCTTTGCGTCTTTTATTCTTGTAATACTCCCCGATATCCCTACCTTTTAAATGTTTGGGGTGATCACCTCTTTTTCCTCTTTTATCAGACATTTTTCAATGATTTTTTAGATAGTTAATATGTTAGGTTATGTTTTGTTTGACATGACAACGGTTAGCAACGTTGTGAAAAGCGCCATCTATAATGCAATAGTTTAAGCTAATTTTTAAAGAGTAGGTTTCTTTAAGCATAATTAAAGGTTTTCTTTCGTTTACGAAGATTATTATCATTATTATATTATATATCTATATCTCTGCGTGACACCGACTATAATAATAATAATAATTTTCCTAGACGAAAGAAAACCTTTAATTATGTTTAAAGAAACCTACTCTTTGAAAATTAGCTTAAACTATTACATTATAGATGGCGCTTTTCACAAGGTTGCTAATCATTGTCATGTCATTGAGTAAAGAAGTTTACTCAATGGTCATGTCATGATGTGTGGATTGTGGTCCAAAGATAATCTTTGGTCATGTCAAACAGTGATGCCAACCCTACCAAATTTTCGGTAGATCTGCCGATTTCTGAAAAATTCTACCGATCTACCGATAGACATCAATATTTTACCGAAAATCTAAATCTTGCAATAATTCAAAAATATAACTTTATTAGATTAAATTGCATAAAAATATTATACCATTGAGTAAATCTTACCATCTTACTCAATGATTTAATGTTAAACCATTGAGTACTTACTCAATGGTTAAACAGCAATTATTCAACAACCAAAACACGTCAATTTTGCACTTTAAAGACGTCTAAAATGGACGTAAAGACGTATTAAAGATGTCTTTAAGAATCGTCTTAACCACGTTGATGGGGACGTTTTTTTACGTCTAACTAACACGTTTTAATTACGTCCACAAAATACGTCATAAAAATGTGACATTCCAACGTTGATAACTCGTATTATATGCGTAAAAAAACACGTCTTTTGGTTGAAATATTACCAAAATGTCACGTGTTTTTCACGCTTTTCTGTTTGCTGGGTCCCAAGTCTATAGAAGTCACTTATTTTTCACTAGTAGTGAAAGAGCTCTTTCATAGAGCAACCTTACTCTGCCAGCACCAAAATGGAAGTCTAAACAAACTTGCGTTTAGCGCATGCGCACACAGAAAAAATCTAACATATTTTGCCTAAATGTCAAAGAATTTATTGCGTTAAATGTATACATACTATACATACAATAGTAACGTTATTAAATAAATCAAATTAGTATTTAATACAATAACATTCTACCATTCTAACAAATAAATATCAATATGAATATCAATAGATTTATAAATCTATAGGAGCGATAACTTTTGTTGTTAATTTTAAAACAGTAAACGATTATAAACCAAGTGCTAACTACCTATTGGTATTATAGGAACTGTTATTCAGGAATACGGATTACAAGATCCCATTGGTTTAATGGCTCACCCATTCATGCTACGCTAGCGTTTTTTCAGTGCATTTCTGTACCTAGTAGATAGGTACCGAAATTAACATGCTTTTTTCTATATTCCTACAAAATTCTAGTAATATTTAATTGGTCCTTTTTTAAAAATTTTAATCCAATCAGTAAATCAGTAAAAATAAAGGAAACAGTTGCTATAAAAAGTATGTCGAAAAATGCCTCCTAGCGGAACAATAGGCATTTTTAACTGTTTCGCAAAATCAGGTTTTTATTAATTATTTTAGAAACGAAATATATTAACGTTATTTCCGGACACCCTGTATGCATCTAGTTTTTGTGTGTAGTACACTTATAAAGGAAAGCTTACTAAACAATTTGGCGTAAAAATATATTGTAATTCCATTGTGTATTATGTCCAATATTTCCAAATATGTATTAGATATTGAATAATGTTTGAACACATTTATTTTTGCATTTATTTATGTCGATACTTTAGCCCAGGGATTTGCATTGTTGATTTTCGAATATTCGATTTGTATGAGGTGATAAATTTGTAGCTCTTATAACTGACAAATTCAAAATTATTTGGCCAATTAATAAGTGATGTTTTCAGTTTTTATTACAACTGATAATCAAGGCCGTGTTTGATTACATTTAACTTGTAATTAAAAATGTCATTGAATTTTAATTTGTGTTGAATTAATTACAATCATAGATTTTTGAACTGGTTGTGCAGTTTGCGAGAGGGTGTGAATTTTAATATAAAATTTTATTTTCAAAAGTATCCCATGCAAAAGAATGTCCAAAAACAAAGTTTTGACATTATTTAAGTCAGCAAATAGGTAAGTATTTTGTGGTAATTTTGAACTTCATCACTCGCAAGCCGTCTGAGATATTTCTGTGCCTTGATGACGTAACGGACAAGTTATAAAACTCTTAGTATTTATTTTAGGACTTTAAAAACAAAAATATATAGGTTTCAACAGAGGGGGAGATTACGATTAATCAATATGGAGGGGGGATGTTATGAAAAACATGTCTTTATATTTTCGTGCGACATCGTGCAATAATTTTGATTAAAAGAGAATATCTTTTAAAATATTTGCAATTATGCTATTGTAAAAGATGACCAAATTATAGTACTATTGTGGAGCAATCAGACACAAGAGGATAAATCCAGTTTTGTTAAAAAATGAGTTAGGTATGAACTAACATGTTTCTGCAGAAAATGAGGTAAGATTAATCCATTGGTGAATTCAGAATTGAGCCAAATCAAGTAATTGATATATTGTAGAGCAATCAGACACAAGAGGATAAATCCAGTTTTGTTAAAAAATGAGTTAGGTATGAACTAACATGTTTCTGCAGAAAATGAGGTAAGATTAATCCATTGGTGAATTCAGAATTGAGCCAAATCAAGTAATTGATATATTGTAGAATACCGGTCTCGAAACCTATAGGTTTCATCAAGCAAAAGCAGATAAATCCAAATAAATACAATTTAAATTCTTGTTCAATGAAAATAAGATATATTTACATTATTGCTATTTTAAATTAATTTAAATATCACTAACATTTTTTAATTTATCCTGGACCACCCTGTATAGGTCAATGGATAAAACGGGTTTTTATTCCTATTTTAAGCAAATAGATTAAGATAGAGATAAGTCCTGTCAATTCAAGCAACACTAGTTAAATTAATTTTGTTTTTTACTAGGTATAACACAAGATGCAGGTGGACAAAAAATAAAAAATGAATTTTTAGATCTTATAACACAATGCTCTATAGAATACACGGGTTGTTCTTTGTGTAAATTTTGCAGAACGAAAAATATTAGTTTTTTCGCTGATAACTCGTAAACTGTTCAAAATTTCATGACCATTTTAACACCAAATTAACACCATACATGGTCTATATCGATACAAACAAAATGGTGTTAAATATGATTCGTTGGTCCAGTGTAAATTCAAATACTAAAATAGTGCCAATTTAACTTTCACACAGTATTAAAATAAATTTTACTTGGTGTAAATTGAACTCCTTTTCAGTGTTAAATATTATGTGTTTTTGGTCAAATTAAATCATACTACACAGAAATAAAGGAAAAAAAGGAAACACAAAAGTTTGTTGACGCATTACTAGTATATTACCAGTGGTATTATTCCACAAAATTGAACCTTCACCTATTTAAGGTCTCTTTAGTATCGAACAACTTGTAGTGTCATACCAAAGCAAAGGACTACCTAGGTATACTCTTCATGTAAGTCAACAGAGGCGAGATTTAAGAGCATCACGTGATCCACACCGCCTTTGCCGCGATCGGTACACACTATGCAACAAGGAAAGCACGGCAATTTTTTTAAATCGTTTTAACAGAGTGCTTTAGGTTAAAGTAACTCTCATTTTACAATAAATATATTTAGTAAACTGAACCATACAGCGGGTTGGTTTCACTAAAGTTTTCTGGGTTAAATTAACCAATTTAAAAAAAATAATATAACTTTTAGTTTAGTTTACGGTTTAGTACCGTCAAACTAATCTTTGTTTATATTAACCTTCCCACAGTTGATTTAAATAAATACTTATGGGTCAACTAAATTAATATAGTTAAATGAACTATTCCTTTTTTTCTGTGTAGGTGCACTTTTCAAATATTTTTAGATAAACACCTTTTTGGTGTTTGCTGTATATAACATTTTCAACCATAATTCATGGTGTTTATATTAACACCACTTGGTGTTGGATTTTGATACCATTTTAAGATTACTTTTTACACCACAGATATTTTAAACAGTGTAACCGCTTAAAACGGATTTATCTGCTTTTGTCTGATTGCTCCACAATTATGGTATGCTAATTTTTTTTTTTTAAGTTTCACTGAATAAAAATAATAATTAATTTAAGGAAAAAATCCTTGGAAAAAGCAAATTTTTTACCAAAGCTTTGTATCAAAGTATTGGAGGCTTAAAAAAAAGATTTATTTAACCATTCCACACGGTGCGCCTCTGTAAAGTTTAAGTTTTTTGAAAAGACCACCCAAATTTTTTTCTTGTTCATTATAGTGGACCATCCCCTCATTACATACCACTAGTCACCTAAATCGCAGCTGATCCTTCTTCAAAGTTTTGTAGCTCTTTAGATTTTTTTTATTTTTTTAACTATTTTTATAAAATTCAATTAATTTCCAAACAAATGCTGGCTTTTCTGGCAGGCAGATGGATAAAATTACAAATATTATCAGAACATCGCGATGCATCGGCAGGAAAAAAATCAATACCCAGTCAATGTAGAACCTCGCGAAGAAGTCGATAACGTATTTTGTTTAAAAAGTTCTTTATTTTTGGAAACCATAGAGGGAAAACTCCTACGGACAGTTATTTATGCAGATGCAAGTGACCTAGTAAACGAAATTTTAGAAAGGAGACAAAAGTTTGGCACACCAAATGTCAAGGTTTTGTGCGATGGAGGCCAACATTTTTTAAAATATGTCTGTCCCTATTTCCAGAAGATCCAGAAAATAAAGAGAATTAAATTTCATTGCGTTCGAGGAATTCAGATGGAGGTAACGCTGCAAAAAAAGGAAAACTTATAGGTGTTAAGAGAAGAAAATCTTAACTTACTTTTTGACTTGGTAAAAATAAACAAGATATCCTTTAAATTTCTTTCTGACTTTAAAATAATTCTAATGGTTAATGGCTTACAGACAGCAACATCGTCCTAC